GCTGGGCACAGTGGTTAGCGTGTCGGTCTTCTGCGTGCCCCGTCGCCTTTGGTCTCGTTGGTCTGCCCATCATCAAGAGTGGGGTACTGGGTCGTGAAGTTCTCCGTTAGAACTGCCGTTTCACCCCGTGTAGGCTGTCCGGTTTGGCTTCATGTTCTGGTGCTCCCCTATGAGGTATGCAAATGTTTGTCATTGTTTATATTCTTGTTATATTGAGCCTTTTATTGATATGCAATTTCCTCATCTGCCCCAACCAGTTTTTATTGAATGTGTTTGTCTGATCCTAATAGAACTCTTCCTGCCTTCTCTTGGTTACTGTTTGCTTGGAATTTCTTTTTCCACCCTTTCAATCTATTTGTCTTTGGGCCCCAAATAGACCTCCCTGAGACACCATATATTAGTAGTTGGATCGAATCGTACGGGTCTGTCCAGCTGGCCTCTCGCTTTTGGCTGGCAGGTTTCGCTCGTTCCCATCTGAAGCAATCACTGATGAGGAGGGGCCCCTTCCGCCCAGTGTTTCTACACGCCTCAAGATTTTGATTCCTCACATCTGCATTACTGTCTTTCTGTTCTCTTAACTGTTATATTGTGAAACGTGTAAATTCCACTCTCATTTCCTTTTGTGCGTTCTCTGTAGCTTGCTGTGTGGTTGCTATGGAGATGACAAAGTTACAGCAGTCTAGTTTGGATTTACAGCGACTGAACTGCAGTAACATGCAAAAACAGCTCTCGCAACAGCCCTGTGCGTTCCCGTTTAGATATACTGACGCCACTCAGTTACGCCCCCAAAACATAAACCAGTGACTTCAAAATGCATTAGTCTCTTAGATTTTGTAGAAAACAAAATGTGAAACTAACTTTTTTTCTCTCTCTTTTTTTTTTTTTTTTGGAGAGGTTTTTGCTATAGAGAGTGTGCGCTCGCCAGACAGACAGAGACAGAGACAGAAAGAGAGAAGTCACCCCCCTGGGGGGATGGCCACACGGTAATTCCTTCTCAGGATCTCGTGCCCGGCATGAGTTTAAGCCACCAAGTCTGGGACTTGAACCATAGTTGGCTACATGGGAGTCCAGCAACATAGCCATTATACCAACGACTGGTCCCATGAAACTGCAAATTTAAGTTACAGTAAAGTAGCTTTTAGATTAATGTAATTTTTTAGAATTCCAAGTCATTGTTCCAGTAATGCCAGCTTAGCTGATTGCCCGTGTGTTTGCCTTTACTGAGACCACGATTTCTTCCCGTGGCTGCCAGTTAGTGTGGAAAGTTTGTTTCACCCCATGGGACTTACGGTGTTACTCATGGGGCAGATCTAGAAGCAAGGAATTACTTTGGCTTTTTAATCTGGGAATATTTCCTCACCTTTGAAGAACCATTACAGGATTTTTGGGTTGCTCATTCTTCCTTTCAGCACTTTGAATAATGCCTGTAGGCCTCCAAGGTTCTGATGAAAGCCTGTCAGGGCAGTAAGGGTCCCTGGACAGTGGGAGTCCTCTCGAGGTGCTCTGTGCATGGTCTGTGGAGAGCCTGGTTAGCATTCTGGGCGCAGGCCCTCCGAGCTCGAGCTTCACAGATGTTGTATTTATGTCTTTCATCAAGTTTGGGAAGTTTTTGGCCGTTTTTTTCTCAACTAATCTCTTCCTCTTTCTCTCTCCTCTGTTGGTCCACCTAATGGTGTCTCGTGGGTCCATTGGGCTCTGTTCACTTTTGCTTGGCTGTTTTTCCTCTTTATTCCTTAGACCTGGTTTTCCACTGGCCTTTCTTATTATTTTTTTTTTTTGAGAGGTTTTTGCTATAGAGCGCGTGCGCTTGCCAGACAGACAGACAGAGAAGAGAGACAGAGAGATAGAAAGTGAGAAATCACCCCCCGGGGGGATGGCCATGCCGCAATCCCTTCTCCTCCATTCTCCTCTTGCGATCTTGGACCTGCACGCACACGCGCCTGGCGTGAGTTTTAAGCCACCGGGTCCGGGACGCGAACCGCGGTTGACTACATGGGAGTCCAGTGACATAGCCATTACGCCAACTGCTGGTCCCGCCATTGGCCTTTCTTCAGGCTCACTGATTCTTCTGCCTGTGAACCCCTGTAGCGAATTTGAAATTTCAGTTACTGTTCTCAGCTGACAAAATCTGGTTTTGGTTTCCTGTTAGGATTTTTATTTCTCCACTAATATTTCCATTTTGTTCATATAATTTTTTTTGACTTTGTTCATATCTTCCTTTAGTCTTTGGAGCACCTGTAAGGCTGGTTTATCTAGTGGATCTGCCATAGATCTTCTGTAAGGACCGTTTCTGTTGACTCATTTCTTTCTTTGAATGGGCCGCACTTTCTTATTTGTGTGGCCTGTTTTTGTTGTATTTTTGAAGAAGGAACATCTCAGTCTGAACATGCGGTAACTCTGGAAGCCCCATTGCCCCCTCTGCCCAGGGTGTGCTGTGTTCTGTTAGGATTTTCGTTGACTGTTGTGACGTGGCAGGCTGTCTGTGTGCGAGGGTCAGTCTGAGGTGTGCAGCTCAGGCCGTCTCAGGTCACGTGGGGTCTGGGACTCCTTTAGGCATGTGCAGTCATGATTCTCCTCGTACGTGCACTTATTTCCAAATGTCCTAGTCTTTTCTGCCTGCCTCCCTGAACAGGAAAGAGGAAAACGAAGGGGTGGAAATGGGAAGGACATTGACCCTTTAAGTCTCCTGAACTGACTTCAGCTAGAGGGGACGAGCAGCAGCCATTGCCTGGACACCCCCGGCTGCACGTCTGGTGGGAGCGATGGCCAGCAATCAGGGTGCAGGTGCCCAGTACTCAGAGGCAGGGCCCACGGCCCACCCTCACTCCCGCCAGGTTCCAGGTCGGTGTAGGTGTGTGTGGCCTGCTGCGGACTGCGGCCCGAGGGGCGCAGGTGGGGAGCTCCGTCGCCAGGATGAACTGCACTTTCTAGCCAAGCCTTCCCAAGGCCGGAGCTCCAAAGACCATGCTTGGCAGATTCTGCCAGCTGCCTCGTCTTGGTGGGGAGACAGATGCCTGACGCTCCCTGCGGCCTTTTGTCCAGAATCTTCTCCTCCAGCTGTTCTTGCATGTTGTCTACCTTTCCAGCTCAGTGTTCGAACCTGTGTCATCGTGACTTTCTGTCCTCTTACTGCTTTTTCGTCTGGTCTGTGGTCATGTCTGCTTTATTTTACCACTTTTCCTACTGACCTTGGGCCACATTTTCTTGCTTCTGTGTGTTTTGCAGTTTTTAAAATATGAAGTAGGTCTACAAAAGACAGCGGAGAGTGAGATAAAAACGTCTACCTCCAGGAGGGCCGCCCCGCGTCGGACGGGGGCTGAGGCAGTCGTGTACTTGACACAGCTCTGTCTCGGCGGCAGCCCAACTTTGGTGAACTCTCACCACCTTTCGTTATTGTGAGCAAAGTCCAGAGACCGCTCCCACGGGGAGGATGGGAGATTGGTGAGATGCTTCGCCGCTTGCCCGCCTCCGGGCGCCGCCCGCCCTGCCCCGCACCTGCTGCTGCTCCTCCAGTCCCAGCCAGGCTTCCCACGCCCGGACCTGGAGGGCAGCCGCAGAGCACGCGGGAGCCCAGGGTCTCTGTGGGGCCTGCTGTCTCTGACCTTCAGTCGTGAGTGCCCGAGAATCGCGGAGGGACAGTGCTCGCTCTCCTGTCCTCTGCGCAGCCCTTGTCCTTGCAGGCCCCCCGGCTTCCCGGGTGCCCACAGTTCTCCAGCCCTCCTTGCCCTTGGTGTGCCCACCCTCTGCCCTGGCCAGCACCTGTGGGACCAGCCTGTGGGTGGATGCCAGCTCCACTGCAAAGTGTTCCTTGTCCTTGGGGCTGGCCTCTGAGGTCTCCCTGCAGTCCTGCAAGGCTTGGCTGCCCCCACCCCCTGCGGTGACCGTGGTGAGTCTGTCTGCTCGCGTCTCTGGCGGGCACCTGAGCATGCGTGGGGCCCCTTACGCCTCAGGAGTCTCGTCCTATGGAACAACGCGCTTCACCTAGATTCCCTCTCACCCTTAATTCCTTGGATTTTTAAATTTTAAGCTGTGGTTTTGTAGTTAATCTGGCTTGTTTTGATTAGCGTGAGAATAACTTTCTTGTGACTTTCTGTTTTGTACCTGAAAGTTAAAAGGAATGCTTCCAGTACTGCTACTTTCCTGTGCAGAGGATGCGTCGTCAACCTTGGCTTCTTGGGTCTTCCCTGGGGCTGTGCGAGACACCCGTGAAGTTCGCGGAGTGCCAGGCACCTTGGTGACCCTAACTGAGTCTCACCTCATTTAACATGTGCAGACATGAGAGCGGGCATTGTGTCACCCGCATTTTCCGGGCAGGAGACTCAGCAGCGAGCTCAGTATTAGAGAGCTGGTTTGACACTTCAGGACGCTGGGTTCTTTCTGTCTGGAACAGAGTTTGCAAAAGCCCGTCCCAGATGGCGCGGTGTGGAATGTATGAGCGAGGGGCGGGGGTGAGGAGTACCAGCCCACACTCACCTACATGCCGTGACCGCTGTCAGTTCTGTAAGAAACTTCCCTGGGGAGAACGCCCCTCACCTAGAGGTGAGTGGGGTCCCTTCTCTGCTGTGGCCAGCACGCCCAGTGTCCACCTTTTCTCAGAGACCTCTCGAAACCTCTCAGCTCCTACACCTTGGCTGCCGGCATAGATAGCAGGGGCAGCGGGCGCGTGTGCAGACCTCCCCGCGGGCGTAGCGAGGCGGAGCTCCTTGAAGCCGTCATCGCTCCAGGCCCGAGGAGGCAGTCCGTGCATTGAGGAAGTGCCAGCCTGCTCCTGATGGAACGCGTGTTACTAGCTCCGGTCGCAGTGTGCCAGTTTAGAGAGATGCCGCAGACACACTTCCTAGAAATGTACTACTTTTTGAATTTTTGAATTGTCTACTTACCTGCCTTGAGCATTGAAGTCTAATGTGGGTTATGTCTTACGTTAAGTTGATCTTACTGAATGCTTAGTTTATCCTTGTCCATTAACCCTGACTTTCTCTCCCTCTCTTCCACGAGAATAGCTCTCACTTTCAGAAGAACAAAGTGAAATAACGAAAAACGGCTGTGAGTCTAAAGAACTGGTCTACCTCGTGCAGGTCGCCTGTCAGGTAATTGTGGCCGTGCGGTCAGAGGGTGATTGCGAGTGGTTGTTACGTTCCTGGAGTAACTCTCACATTGCCTAAGTAGTGTAACCCACAGAGATGCTTGTACAACATGGAGGCGGGCCTGGGCCTGGGCCTGGGATGACCGCTACGGGAAACACATGGTATTTTAAAGAGGAGGAGCGTGTTCGGACGGCGCTGCATGGACCGCGTAGTTTCGCCTTGCAGCTCGCACGTCTGCTCTTCTCCTTTCTAGGAAGTTTCTAAGGCTTCCGACACTTGCGAGTAAGAAACAGTAACTATGGCAACACAGGCTGCTGTGTTCTTTCTCCCAGGAGTCCTGGCATTTGTAAGAGCACTTGGTTGAAGCAATCATTTTAGTAGAATATGCTTTATAGAGATTTAATTTGCAACCTTAAGTGAAAACGCCTCTGGTAAGAATAAGAGGAAGATGTCGTGTATCGGTCATTAGATGAAATGATCGGCTGTTGATCACGTGTTACGGTGAAAGCCTAGACAAGCCCTCTGCCCGGGCCCACTTTCCTCACCTCTGTGGCACAGGATGCGTGCCTGTTCGGGGAACTGTGTGAGGTCCTTCCTGGGACCAGCTCCTCGTCACACTCGGCGCGACCTTCGAGCACTGGTCATTGCCGGCGTAGTACGCGCCGAGTCCTGGTCTCCTCTCTGTCTACACCCACTGCCTCTCCTGCCATAGCGAGTCAGTCACTGTACAGCAGGTGTTTGGGACAAAAGCCTCCTTCTGTACAGAGCTTTTCGTTTGGTGTTTTGTTTTGTTTTTCATCTTTTTAGGACAGAGTAAGATAGGAGCACTCTCATTTTCCTTCAAACAATATTAATTAAATTATCTGGACAAGTTCAGTGCTTCTCTGGGAAGTACTCAGGTTCTTAATTCTGATGACCGCACGGAAACCCTTTCAGGGCCAGGTGCCTTTATTTTTAGGTGCCATAATATGGGACTAAACCAAGTTTACTTGTGTGTACCCAAGATGGCGGAGTCGCACGCTGTGTCTCTGTATCACTCATGTCCTCGCCTGTCTTTCGGGAAGGGGGGGCTGTATTTCATAGAGTGCTCCGCCTGTGAAAGCGTCCAGTTCTTCTATGACCACACTGCTGCTAATGGGTGAACGGGAGTAATGCCTTCTTTACCTGGAGTACGGCAGGAGAGACTGAGTCTGTTTACTGCTGTTAGCTGTGGGCACTTGTGCTTGCTGGGCAGAGACAGGCGGGGAGTGAGGAAGCACCCAGCGGGAGGATGGCCTCACCCCAGTCTCCTTCATTTCTCCTCTTAGGATTTTCGGCATGCAGGTACACATGCCTGGCGTGTTTTTCAAGCTGCCGGGTCTGAGATTTGAACTGTGCAGTACAGCAGGTGTTTGGGACAAAAGCCTCCTTCTGTACAGAGCTTTTCGTTTGGTGTTTTGTTTTGTTTTTCATCTTTTTAGGACAGAGTAAGATAGGAGCACTCTCATTTTCCTTCAAACAATATTAATTAAATTATCTGGACAAGTTCAGTGCTTCTCTGGGAAGTACTCAGGTTCTTAATTCTGATGACCGCACGGAAACCCTTTCAGGGCCAGGTGCCTTTATTTTTAGGTGCCATAATATGGGACTAAACCAAGTTTACTTGTGTGTACCCAAGATGGCGGAGTCGCACGCTGTGTCTCTGTATCACTCATGTCCTCGCCTGTCTTTCGGGAAGGGGGGGCTGTATTTCATAGAGTGCTCCGCCTGTGAAAGCGTCCAGTTCTTCTATGACCACACTGCTGCTAATGGGTGAACGGGAGTAATGCCTTCTTTACCTGGAGTACGGCAGGAGAGACTGAGTCTGTTTACTGCTGTTAGCTGTGGGCACTTGTGCTTGCTGGGCAGAGACAGGCGGGGAGTGAGGAAGCACCCAGCGGGAGGATGGCCTCACCCCAGTCTCCTTCATTTCTCCTCTTAGGATTTTCGGCATGCAGGTACACATGCCTGGCGTGTTTTTCAAGCTGCCGGGTCTGAGATTTGAACTGTGCAGCCAGCCATGTGGGATGCAGCTGCCTTAACCGCCACACCACTGCCTGGCTTGGGAATGTGTTTATTCATTCCTCTCCAGCCTGACGCATCTTACCCTGTCTTCTCACCATTAATTTTCATGCGCTCTGAGAATGCAAATGTGTTTGACTCATGAGCAAAACATGATGTCAACAATACCTGTGCTGTTCCTCAGGTGACCTTCAGAAGGCAAGCACTGGGTTTTGGTGCTGTCCACTGGGGTGTCTGCGCCTTACCTGGCTGTGCGCCCGTGTTATCATGACCTCGATAGTGAAGCCGTTCCTGGTTGGAACTGTCTTGTCAAGCTGCTTTAAATGTTCAGGTGACTTGGTCTGCTAGTTATCACAGCAGAGTAGTAACTGAGGTAGTGAGTTAACATAGAGTACTAGCTGCCTTATAGTAATGCCGTCCCACCTCTCCTCTCCTCCTGGAAGTGGCCTTCGACGCATTCCCGTGGCCGGCCTCTGTATCCATCCCGTGGTGTCAGCCACAAACCATATGGAACCACAGTCGTCATTTTTTCTAGCTAAGAGAGACGCATTGTCAAGTCCTCTAATTTTGCAAATAAGGAGATAGAGCCCCACTTACTGGAGTGGCTGTTTTAGCTGTATGCGTCTTAGCAGCAGGAGCTCCTGAGCACTTCAGTCTCCTGACAGCCAGCCAGCTCTCCCTGTCTCCCTGGAACTTTAGTCCAGAACAGATTTGCAAGGTTGCTTCGTCTTTGGCTAAGACAGGAACACCATCACATACTGTGCAGTCCATCTCCACTGAGAAATGCATTCCTTGGTGGGGAATGTCCCTCCCCCGTTCCTGTAGAAGACACGCTATCCAGGAGCGGGGTGCATGATAGTTCCGTGCAGAAACATCTCTGGCGGTGCCAGGGTTGCAAACACCTCGTAACTCGGCACACGTAGGTGCAGTCCCACAGGGGAGTGGACTGCTGCCCGGGGTGTGGAGCGATTTGCCCAAGGTTCTGGGTTTAGGCTGACATCAAGTCAGGTCTTCTCTCTCTTTTCACCTCCCTTCATACATGCAGAGGGGTCGTAATTAACTCATTATTTCTCAGGTGCTTTCTCGTGATAAGGAGACTTCCAGGGAGAGGCCAGGTTCTCAGGAAGTGCAGCAGAGAGCAATGTCAGCGGCTGTCTCTCTCTCTCCTGAGACCAAGTCTTATCTCGTTTGGTGTGATGTCGCACCTTGTCGTCCATACCCCGGGAGCTGCCAGCATGATCTCTTATAGACCATAAAGTGAGTCTTGTTCTCATGGTTAAAACCCTTGAACAGAGCCAGCTGGTGGCGTGGTGGTTGGGGTGGCTAGATCCCACCTGGCCAACTGCCTGGTTCAAGTCCTGGACCTGGCAGCTTGAAAATCATGCTACTCATAGGGTTGGCAGGTGGCATGGTGGTTAAAGTCTCCCACATGGCAGAACATGTTCGAGTCCTGGACCTGGCGGCTTCTTTTCTCACTTTTTCTTTCTCTCTCTCTCACTCTGTCCCTTTCTGGTCAAATAAAATAACTAAGTAAATTTTTTAAGCATTAAATAAAATAATTCTTTTTTAAAAAAATAAAAAAGGGAAAAATAAAATTATGCCAGGCACATGTGCATGTGCGCCCCAGATCCTGGGACGAGAGTGAAGAAGGCATTGTGGCATGGCCATCCCCGCCCCGGGAGTGCTTTTAGCCTTTCCTTCTCTGTTTCCCTCTGGAGAGCTCATGGGCTAAATAAATAAATAAATAAATAAACTCTGGGGTAGATTCCCACCACACCGAGAGCTAAACCCAAACTCCCCAAGGGCTCTGAGGGCCCCAGGCCCGGCCGCCCTCTGGCTGTGTCCTGTCAGTCTCCTCCTCACTCTTACTCCCTGGTCGCACCTTTGGGCTCCTCCAAAAGGACACAGGGTCCTCCCTGTGACAGGCCTTGAGCTTGGCTTGGCTTCTTATGGTGCCCAGTGCTCCGGCCATGTCTGGTGTCACCCAGATTTTAGGACTCAGTGGGGGAGCACCCTTCCCAGAGGCTGTCCCAGCACCCTGTCTGAAGTCGGTCTGCCTTGTTTCTTCCTGGCACAAAACTCCCATTTTATCTATGTGTGTGTTTACTTTAAATATACTTTCTTGTCCTCACTAGAAAAGAAACCCCAAGATGTGGGGGATCTGGTCCACTGTCTCTGCACCTCATGTGTTCTCTGGTGCTCGCTGGCCTGTCGGGGTTCAGGGAACACCCGGTGGATGCACAGGTGACAGAGGGGCCCGTTCTCATCATGGAGTTCGCTGTTCATTCCTCGATGTTTATTTTATAGCATTCTTATTCCTCAGCCTTGTCATAATTGCTCATTATTGTCATCCTTGGATAGCAGTAATTGTTTGCTAATAATAATTGTTAAAATTGGGGCCAGCAGGTGGCGTGGTGGGTAAGGTGCTGGATTCCCACATGGCTGATGACTGTAGTTCAAGTCCCAGACCTAGCAGCTTAAAAATCACGCTGGGCACATGTGCACGCTCCGAGTCCCAAGAGGAGAATGAAGAAGGGATCTGTGTGGGCACCCCCCTAGGGGAGGGGACTTACCATTTTCCTTTTCTCTTTCTGTCTCTGTCTCTCTCCAGAAAGTGCACACCTGTGGCAAATACTTTTAAAAAATTATGAAGATTAAGAATTAGCAGCAGATTACAAGTTAAGCAGATATGTAATGAAGAGATTCTGTTGTGTTCCTTTACAAACTTATTAAACTTCTAAAATAGCCTGCCTATTTGGTCTCTTTGGAAATTGGATTATTGAGACTATATTTTCACGTAGAGTGAAACTTGCTTTATACCTGCTGACAGTATCAGGTCTCTAATGTCATAAATAAGATCTGCATGGAAGAGCACGCTTTGTGCTGACATCAGAATAGCTTTAAGACATCTGAAGAGGGCCCCACGGTGGTGCAGTGGGAGAAGGCAGCTCCCCAAGACAGGGCCACATGTCAAGGTCACCTGCTCACCTTGGACACCTCCCTGGCATGCCAGGCATGGGGACACTCATGCCCCTGGCTTGCTGAGGCGGGGCTGGATGGCACTGAGATCCTGTTGGACGTACACCTTTTTTCTCTCTGTCTCTCTCATTCATGGGATAAACACGTAAACTTTTTTAAATAAGGAGGAAATATATTAGGTCATCGGGAGGGTCATAATGTGTTTTTCTCTTATTCTTTGCAAAAATGCATCAGCTTCCCTGACAGCCCAATATAAAGAAATCAGTTCATGCATGAATGAAGAAATACGTTGTAATCATGTTCTAGGAGCTCTGAAGGCAACTGTGAGGTTGGCTGTTGATATTTGAGTAAGACTGTTCAGATGGAAGAGAGGATGACTACTATTTGAAAAAGTTAACACACTTACTTTTAAGGTTCACAGAAAAATTGAACAGAAAGTAGAGCTCTCTCCTGTAGTCCCAGCTCCATGTGTGTACACAGCCGCTCCCCGCATCAGCATGTCTGCACCGAGCGGTCCATTTGTTGCCAGTGACCAGTCTACACTAACACACCGTTGTCACCCAACACTCATGGGGTGCCGTCGGAGTCAGCCTTGGCGTTGCACATTCTGCAGGCTAGGACTGATCTATACCGGCATATATCCACCGTTGTAGTATCACACAGTGGTTTCACTTCCCCAGAAACCCTCTGTGCTCCCCATGCTCCTCCCTCCCTCCCTGCTGACTCCTGGCAACCCCTGATCTTTTCACTGTCTCCGTAGATCTGTCTTTCCCAGAATGCCGTCTAGTTGGGATCATCTGGTACGTAGCCTTTTCAGACTAGTTTCCTTCACTTAGGAATACACATTTAATGTTCTTGCATGTCTTTTTGTGGCTTGATGACTCCTTTCTTTTTCACACTGATTACTATTCTGTTGTCTGTTTATCCATGACGAATGAAGCTATTATGAACTCCCATGAGCAGATGTTATTTTTCATGTGGATATAAGTTTTCAAGTCTGGGGAAATGCCAAGGAGTACAATTGCTGGATCACATGTTAATAGCACGTGGAGGTGGCAAGTAGCTGCCCGATTGGCTTCCAAGGTGCTGTACCATTTTGCATGGCACTGGTGGTGGGTGAGGTTCCTTGACAGCACTTGGTGTTGTCAGTGTTGTAGATTTTGGTCGTTGTATTAAATGTGTAGTGCTGTCTCCTTGTCGTTTTAGTTTGTGATTGCCTGATGGCATATAGCATTGAGCATCTTTTCATATGCTTACTTGCCATCTGTGTATCTTTGACGAGGTGCCTGGTAAAGTCTTTTGCCCGTTTTCCGAGTTGTTTTGTTAATGTTGAGTTTTAAGAGTTCTCTGTATATTTTGGATAACAGGGCTTTATCACATGCGACATTTGTGAGTACTTCTTCCCAATCTGTTGTTTACCCTCTTATTGTCATGACTTGGTCTTTTATAGAGCAGAGGTTTAACATTTTAATGAGGTCCAACTTACCAATTTTTTCCCCCTTGGGTCAGGTCTCACCTTTGGTGGTGTATCTTCAGTCATTGCTATGACCACGGTCACCTAGATTTTTCCTTTCTTGTCTTCTGCAAGTTTTGCAATTTTACATTTTACATTAGGTCTCTGACCCATTTTGAGTTACTTCTTGAGAAGGATGTAAGGCCTGTGTTTAGGTTCAGTTCCTTGTGGGCGCGTGTCCATTTGTCCTGCCGCCGTTTTTATACGTGGTCTTTCCTTCACTTTGCTTCTTCGTCAAAGATCAGTTGACTGTAATTATGTGAGTTTATTTCTACACTCTCTGTTCTGTTCCATTGATTATTTGTCTCTTCTATCCCCAGTACTACTGTTTACATTACTGCTTTATAGGAGGTCTCAGTTGAGTAGTGTCAGCCCTCTGACTCGGTTTCCCATCTTCAGGGTAGTGTTGGCTGTCCTGGGCCTTTTCCTTCCCCACTCACCGTTTGGAACTAGTTTGTGGATATCAGCCAGATAACTTGCTGGGATATTTTTGAGGTCTGCTGAATCTTTAGAACAAAATGGAAATGCCTCTCATCTTGACAATACTGTCTTTCTATCCATAACAAGATACATCTCTTCATTTACTTAATTTTGTTTTTGTTTAATTTTAGGTAATGTTCTCCTACCTAGAATGTCTTTATGGTTCTTTCTAGAGGTCTAAGGTCACTTACTCTCTTGGCATCTAATAGTGGCTGTCCTCAAAGAGAGGCTGTGACTTTGGCCAGGACAGCAGTGGGAAGAAGGTCAATGGAGAGTTTGTCCTTGTTTCCATTACTGATGTTTGATGTAATATAACTCACTAGAGTGTCTTAGAGTTTAACTGTTTACTCCCAGGTTGATGTAAAGTTCTCATTAGAAAATAGAACACCTCCTTATAAAGTATAGCTTGGCTTGTAAGTACCTCCCAATAGCGATACATTATAGGAATGTTTTTCTTCTTACCCACAGGGCAAAAGTTGGATTGTTAAAAGAAGTTACGAAGATTTTCGGGTCCTTGATAAACATCTTCATTTATGTATTTATGATCGCCGATTCTCCCAGCTCTCAGAGCTTCCCCGTTCTGACACTCTGAAGGACAGTCCAGAGGTAAGCGTTTCGTTTTCTGCAGTAGTAGTAAAAGTCCATGGAAAGTGTGTATTATTGAAAAAAGAAATGCATGCATTTTAATTTTGATTCTTTCATAAGAACACTTAGCTTAAAATACAAACACTTGGAACCGGCAGATGGTGTCATGGTTACATCACTGGACTCCCACATGACTGACTATGGTTCGAGTCCCAGACCTGGAAGAATGAAACTCAATCTGCCATGAATACATGCCTGCCCCAAATCCTAAGAGATGAATGGAGGAGAAGGGGTTGCATCTCTTCTGGCCACCCCCCGCCCAAGGGGTGATTTCTGGCTTTCTATGTCTCTGTCTCTTTGGCAAATGAATGCGCACTGTAGCAAAAAAAATCTCTCTAAAAAAAACCATTTTGTATAGCTACAAAAACATTTTGTTTCTTCATAGCCTTATTCTATAAGGTTTTTTTTATTTTTAAAATAATTTAAAAATTTTAGTTAATTTTTTTTTTTTTTTTTACTTTTTAAACTTTTGTGTTAAAAACCAAGACACAAACGCACACATTAGCCTAGGCCCACAGGGTCAGGATCATCAGTGTTGCTGTTGCTGTCTTATACTTCCACATCTGCTCCCGCTGGAAAGGCCAAGGTAAATAAAACAACGCGGGATTAAATAAGAGCAAGAGAACAATGCAGGCAGAGGACAGGGCTGCCCAATCAGGCAGTCGCTGACACTGCAGCAGGGTCCTCGGAGTGTCTCGAAACCTCCTGACCTTTGCACCGTAGGAAACCCTAAAGCTTCTACTTCCATTTCCCATCTCTGCCTTTCCATTCCATTGTTTTCTCTCAAGATCGTCTCAGAACATGGCCAAATACTAACCCATCCCCGGTTATTATCTTCTTTGAAAAGAGAGCATCCAGACTGCAGTGAGTGTGCATCTAATTCCTGGATTAACTCATGACTTGTCTGGCTCACGTCAGCTCACAGCCCTGCCCCCAGCCGTGGCATGGGGTGGGGTCCTGTGTGGCCGTGGCTGCTTCTGCCACAGCCATGAGCTTGGCAGATTACAGCTGGCCTTAGCGAAGAGGGCTTCAGGGCAGCAGGGAAAGCTAGCCAGAAAAGCCGAACGTGGGTCTGCTGTACTCATCTTTCTGCACTGTCAATATGGAAATAGAGAACGCAGTAGAGCCAGAAACTGGACCGAGCGTGACCCCACAAGGGCAGGGCTACAGGTTAAAGCTCTACTTGAACTGGGCCGAATTGCTGTCAGTGCTTGTGGTTCGGCGTCAGCCTCCGTGAAAGATTCGTGACTATTTCATTATTTTTTTAAGAGGATTTTTTCGCCTTAGTGGGCATGCACTCACTAGAGAGACAGACAGACGTAGTGTGAGGCAAAGTGAGAAATCCTCCTCCCGGGGGGATGGCCACACAACAATCCCTTCTCCTCCATTCTCCTCCAGGGATCTTGGGTTCCCATGCACACCTGCCCGGTGTGATTTTGAAACCACTGGGTCCTGGACTCGAATTGTGGTTGGCCATGTGGGAGTCCAGCAACATAGCCGCTACGCCATCTGCTGGTGCCTGGACTCGTAACTATTACGTGCCGGCCCCAGTACAGCCGGCACAGTGGAGAGTCCCCTGCGGCGGCAGCCTGTGCTGAGTCACTCTGAGCCTTCTCTTCCCTTGCAGTCGGTCACACAGATGCTCACGGCTTACCTGGCACGCCTGTCAGCCATTGCTGGCAACAAGATCAACTGCGGGCCCGCGCTCACCTGGATGGAGGTACCCCAATTCAGCTCTTAGGAAGGTCGTTTTACAGCCGCCTCCTTAGGACACGTGCTAGTGACAACCGTGGGAGCTGTCGAGTTCCAGCAGCCAGAACATGAGTATATTTTCATCTTCGGGGATGATAGAGATCTGATCTAGAAAGCATTTTTATTTCAAATCTTTCATTGGTAATCCAGGGACGGACTTTACTCTGTTTATGACGCCGATGACACCTGTCATCTTAGTGTTGAGGGTATTAGTATACGCCTTTAGCCAGGTAAATGCATTTTCACTCGACTAAGTGATTAAAAACGTTTTTCGATTATTTATGAACAAGGGACAGCTTTTTAAGGGTCTGATTTAAGAGTAAGTCTTGAGTGGAACATCACCCAGTAAATATGTCATTCGTAGCCTGCATCTGCAGCGTTACCGTATTCTCGGGTCCAGTGGGAGAGGAAAGACGTGAGTAAGAGTGTGGAGCTACGAGTGGGCTCCTGAGCCTGCGCCCTCGCTTCTCCATCACTGGCCGTGTGGACTTGGAAACGTTGCTTAGTCTCTTGTAGGTTACATCGCCTTTTTCAGTATTTGTCTTCACATTTAGACAGTGGTAATGATGGTCAATATCTTTTGGAGTTGTGAGGGTTAAATTAAATCGTGTATGCTATTTGCCCTGCACAATGACCCAAGAAGAGTACTTTTTAAATACACCCTCAGGCTACGGTCTCCACAAGTTACGCTGAACTGACTTATAGACAGTCGAGGAAACACGTGCGAGTTCCTGTCTGTCCCTTGTCCTTGTTCTAGATCGATAACAAGGGGAATCACCTCCTCGTTCACGAGGAGTCGTCCATCAACACGCCGGCTGTGGGCGCTGCCCACGTCATCAAGAGGTACACTGCGCGGGCCCCCGACGAGCTGACCTTGGAGGTAAAGAACCGCAGGCCGTGGTGGGCACCTGGCCCTGTCGCCTTCCCCGCCGTCCATGACTGCTCGGTCATCGCCTTCACCTAAGACAAGTGAAAAGCAGCAGGTTTCCTCGTAGCCTTTCGCTTTCAGCCCGGAAGGCTCTGTGTATTTTTGTTTGCACAATCGTATCTATCCCCGAAAGCTCAGCTGGGACATCTCCATTACTTCTCAGGGGTCATCTGACCTCCTCCACTCCACACAGACACACGCCCCAGAGCCTGGCTAGAACGCGACTGCCCTGCCTCACGGCTCACGTATGACACAGCAGCTGTTACCTACAGTCAGAATGTCCTCCCGTGTGTGTCAGTGAGCTTCCTGGGAGCGAGGCCTTTTTCCGTACTAAAAGCAATGGCTCCAGCGGCGCCCTTCTCCCGTATCTGTTGCAAGGCTGAGTTAAAGAACAGGGGAAAGGAGAGGTGAACATTTCTGGCTATCGGTGGAAAAGGAGAGAAATTAGGTTTCTTCCTCTAAAAGTATATATTTGCTGGTGAGAGAGGGGGAAAAAAGATGCTTAATTATTCTGTATTTTATCATAGATATCAGCACTTTAAGACTTTAACATCTATTGAGTGTATTAATAAAAACTATTATTGTATTTTTCATATTTACCATTTTGTGCAGGTTTATAAACCCACAAGTTTGTCTTTTACAATGAAGAAATTTACGTCTTATTTGTTTACTTATTTTTAAGAGAGGTTTTTGCTATAGGGCACATGTACTCACTGGAGAGACAGAGAGACAGAAAGCGAGACGCCACCCCAGGTGGGTGACCATGTCACAATCCCTTCTCCTCCATTTTCCTCTCAGGATTATGGGCATGCGCACACGTGCGCCCGGGATGAATTTTAAGCCACCAGCTCCCAGACTCAAACCGCAGTCGACTACGTGGGAGCCCAGCGACATAACCACCACACCATCTGCTGGTCCCTGGGTCTTCAGTGGCAATGTTCCACTGGGCCGTCTGAAGGAAGGGTGTTGTCATCCAGTTTCACAGTCACTAAGACTAGCCAGCTCTGGCCTTTCCCCGTGAGATCAGATGAAGTGTTGGCATGCTCGGTGCACACGCCCGGCCTGCAAAGCCCTCGCTGAGTACACCGTAAATTTAGGCTGTTATTGTTCTAAACATGCCTATTTAAAACTGTCTTTTATGAGTGAGTCTGGTCACCCACAATAACGGCAGTCAGCCCTTACCCATCAGGGGTCACACACGAGGCCTCACCTTTGAACGTCTGTGCCGGGGCTGGCGTTGCGGAGGGATGGCACACGTGTGCGTTGGCGTCTCACAGGCTTTGTGACGCACTCTGTAGAACGCTCCCTCACAAACTGTATGACTATTAAAGTATTTTTAAAGAGAGGTGATAGGTTTTTCCGGACACTGGTAGCCAGAGCATTCAGTACACCCTTTTGTACAGTTTGGATTTAAAAGCTAAGTATAACCGTTGGTTTAAAATGTAACTAAAAGAGTTTTGCTTGAAATTCCGCTTCTCCTAGGTGGGAGACATTGTTTCTGTTATCGACATGCCCCCCAAAGTGCTGAGCACCTGGTGGAGAGGCAAGCATGGATTTCAGGTAGGCAGCGAGAACCTCAATGTGCGCGGGTCCCAAGAACCGTTTTTCTTAATAGCTCCATCTAAAAGATGTACTGGCAGTGGCTTCGTCATCAGAAATCTTATCTGCAATTATGGAAGACTGTAGAGAATTTGATATTAGAGTTGGGTTTCCCTCTCTAGTTACTGCTGTGGTTGTTTGCAGTCTTCTCTGAGTGTAAGGTGGAATAGGTGTGGACAGGCCCAGAACAGGGTCTCTGTTAGATTATCAGGCTCTGAATCAGCCTTGCTTTTAAATTGGCTTTAATTTGTGATTCGCAGACATTTTTTCTCTAGCATTAAGTCAGTTTGATCAATACTTTTTTGCTAAACTGCATTGTAGCTATTCATGTAAACTTCATGTATGCAGTACAGAACAGCAGCAGTTTAAAACCTGATTATTATAGCTTTTAGATGATCTTAGCACTCATTTCCCTAGAATAGATGGGGTTCTTTTATCTTTTAAAAGTATGCATGGAGGAACCTCTGAAAATGCCTTCATGTTGTATCCTTAATATAGAGCTTTGGTTTTTTTGTGATCTGTTTATAAAAGTGTTACTAAGATGCTCCATAAATAAAATGCTAACTACGTAGTTAGAAATTTGATGGCTATCCTATAAATATTTTCAATTTAAGCTACATGTTAAATTAAAACGAATTACTAGCTTTTTATAACATTTACTGTATTTCCCAGCCCATAGCATGGTGGTTAAGGCTGCTGCATCCCACTTGGGTGTCTACGCAGTTCAGGTCCCGGACCCCACCGCATGAGAAGCATGCTGGGCACGTGTGTGTGCTCCCAGAATCTTGGAAGGAAGAAGAGAAGGAGGAGAAGAGATTGCCGCGTGACCATTCCCCATGGGGAGTGTTTTCTCACTTTCTCTCTCTCTCTCTTATTTCTTTGATAAGTGCTTACACCCTCTGGCAAATTAAAAATAAATAATCATATTTAAAAACAATAACACAATTTAAAAGAGGATAGTGTGGTGATTAAGAGCGTGGGCTTTGGTGCCAGATTGCCAGGGGTTCAATCCTGTGCTATCTCAACAAGTTATTTAACCTCCTGTTCTCCGCTTCCTGGTTTGTAAGATGAGAACTGACGGGGCTGTTCTTTACCTAATCAGGAAGTTGTGAAGACACAACGGGTGCCGTTAACAATGTGAAGTACTTAGACCAGGGCTTACATATATTTTTCACTCAATAAATGTTGATTTTTTTTAACTTAAAATAATTCTCTTCTTTATTTTACAAATTTAATCTTGTCCATCCCTTTTTCTATTACAAAACCATCTATAGCAATTTAAATTGGCAAATAAGACCAGAAAAATTGTATCTGTATGACCCCACAACTTTCCCTGTTTTTCAGTGGGGTCTTCCTTCCTGGACTCTGACCTCTTAACTGCTATAGATAATAGGTGTGTCTGATTGAAAATGCACTAGGTGGTAGAAGATCGGGGTTCACTTGTTGCCCATTTCTTTGGAGAGGTTTTTGCTATAGGGCGTGTGCGCTCACCAGAAAGACAGAAAGAGACAGACAGACAGAAAGCAAGAAATCACTCCCCAGGGGGGATGGCCACGCCACATTCGCTTCTCCTCCATTCTCCTCTCAGGATCTTGGGCATGTACACACACGCACCTGGTGTGAGTTTAAGCCACTGGGTCCGGGACTCGAACTGCAGTCGACTATATGGGAGTTCCGCGACATAGCCATTACGCTAACTGCTGGTCCCTTTTTTCGTCTTCTTAAAGGGTCAGTTTTGCATGTTAATGAGCTGTAGAAATTAGGGTCTCAGGTATGACCAGATATAATCTGACTTTTAAGAGAGTTCTATTTGGCCCTAACCTGGGCCACCTTTCTCCTATTACCTCAAAAAATCACCTGCTTTCTTTGGACTCGGTTTCTTCTTGAAATGAGAGGGTCCCACTTGAAGTCTCTGTATGCTTTTCTTAACGTTTTAGTTCTCTGATTATCAAAATTGTAGCTGGTTTTCTCTTCACTGTGTTATGGATACTTCCCGAGGGCTGGGTCCCAACTGACCCTCCTGATCATTTTATTTATTTTGCACAGATGAGTTCATTGCCTCCACACGTTTGTTTTTCCTTTTTTTAAAAAATAATTTTATTTAACTTCATTTATATCTGACTAGAGAGGGACAGAGCAAGCGAGAAACAGAGAGAGAGAGAGAGCGAGAAAGCAAGCAGCCAGGTCTGGGACTTGAACCGCGGTCAGCCATGTGGGAGTCCAGCGCCCTTAACCACCGTGCCACCTGCCAGTCCCTGCACACATTCTTTTCAAAGTCAGTGTGAGTATGCTGACTTTGTTCTATACTCAGGCAAGTCTAAAACTAATTTAAAATGTTTTCTTGCCAAAACAAATTATTTAAAATAAAAACAAGTTTTTAACAGTAAGGATTGATTTGTACTTGATATTGAAGACGGTTCCCAGAGGAGTGCTATTTTCCATCTCAGTCGACCTGCGAAAGGCGGTCAGCCCCGTGCAGAGCAGGCTGGGTACACATGGGAGAGGAAGGTTGATGTGGGCAGGTGCCCATACAGCCAGGAACACGTCCTTTAAATGTCACTGTCAAAACAGTCATTAAAAAAGAATCCAGAACTTAAAAGCAAGACCCCCTCCAGCTCATCATCACTGCGGTCGGTCCCCGCTCTCCAGCCCGCCCACAGGAGCACCTGGGATCAGTTGCTGGGGAAGTGTGAGTGGCGTGTCACTGTCAAAACAGTCATTAAAAAAGAATCCAGAACTTAAAAGCAAGACCCCCTCCAGCTCATCATCACTGCGGTCCCCGCTCTCCAGCCCGCCCACAGGAGCACCTGGGATCAGTTGCTGGGGAAGTGTGAGTGGCGAGTGTGTTTTAAGCATCTGTTAGTGCAAAGTATTCCTTGGGAATTATAAAGTCATCTTTAATTTTATAAAACTTCCAGGTAATTACGATCCCCCATTTTTCTGGAGGGAAAACTATGTTTTTGAGAGGTTTGGTAAGTAGCCAGCATGCGCATTTATTTTTTGAATATTCAGATAATTCCGATTGTCAAGTTCGCAGTGACTGGAATAGTAGCTTAGTCCAGTGGGCTTTGTCTTTTTGAACCCCGTGGGATTGTTACCAGGTTGTGTCATCGGTGGAGCCGCCTGGCCGCCTGCCCCAGGAGCGTAGCCCCAGTCGGCGTCACTGGAGGACTTTGCTCTGTGTACGGCTGCATCACATCAAAAGCCGCTTCAAATTTGTTACTTTTAAGAGCCATATAGTAGTACGATTGTATTAGAGAAACATGCCCTGTCAAAGGGCATTTTTTGAAGTTTCTTCCTTCCTTCCATAAGTGAGAGCGCACAAGAGAAGACCCTTGAAAGAGGCTTGATGCCACGGTCCACCCTAGACTCAGCCCTCTCTGGGCCTAGGCCACGGACACACACCTGGGGCACCAGGGAGGTCTCTGGGACATGAGCCAGAGACCATGCGGGGTGGCCTCAGCGAGCCCCGCATCCAACGGCTGTGCCACCCTCCGGTCTGAGGAGGGCCTTTTTATGTGACTTCGTTCAGAAGGGTAGTTTGCATTTGGAACTTTCTCTTATGTAAACTACACCTGCCTTCCTGGCACTTCTGTATTCTGATGTCGATGGGTGTACCACTCAGAGTGGCGGCAGAGGTGTGTCTGCGTGTGCTTGAGGCCGGGGCTTCTAGGACTCGTTCGCCCATTCCTTAGCTCCCTGGGTGCTGAGCTGCTGCCGGGGCACCCTCCACGGGACTCAGCCTGCGGCTGCAATGGCAGGAACTTCCCTCCTCGGCACTCCGGAAGCTGGACTCTCACGAGCAAGACTGGGCATACAGGCTTTCTCCCAAGGCTTCTCTCGGGCTCGCGTGTGGCCTGCCCTCTGCGTGCAGGTATCTGGGCTCTCAGCTCCTGCTGTCCCGGGAGCACCAGACGTCTGACCTTACGCAGTCACCTTGTTCAAAGCCCTGTCTCTGATTCGGTCACAGCCTGAGATCCTGGGGTCACAGTTCATGTGAATTTGGGGAATATAGTTCAATCCGTGGGAGGGACCACCCTGTCCTGCGGGTGGGTGTGCTGGCCTGGCTTTAGGGCTGGCCTGAGGCCCCAGAAACCCGCTAACATGGACTTGCTAAGGCACAGGCACCGTCTGAGCCAGGCTGGCCCCCAGGCCAGGAAGGGAGAGGTGGGGCCTCTGGCCATGACTGGTGAGAGCCCGCGAAGAAGGGGCCCTGCCGTCACTGTCTGCAGCAGCACCTGAAAAGGTCCCCCTCAGACTCACAGGCTGGTGTTGGGCTTCATTTCATCTCAAGAGGGGAGGAGGTGCAGCCCCCCACCTGCCCCGCCTGCACCTGCTCTTCCTGCACTTGTCCACCAGCACCTGTGCAGCCCCACACCTGCCCCGCCTGCACCTGCACCACCAGCACCTGTCCTGCCCGCACCTGCCCGGCCCACACCTGTACCATCCGTACCTGTGCTGCCCACTGTCCTGGGCTGTGCTGCTCCTTCTAACACAGAACTAGGGGCATCAGCCTTGGTACCCAGGCTCGTGGTGCACCCTGCAGGCTCGGTTTTGTACATCCCAGGGTTTCCACAGGTTCGTTAATGATGTACCCACTGCAGTGGTTTCATACAAAGCTGTGTCACCCTAGAGCATCCCTGTGCTCCCCTCCTCCCTGCCCTGTCCGTGGCGTGGGACCACCTGCGTCCTTCTCAGGTGGCCTCCCCCACGGGCCCCTTCTCTGCCACTTTCTGGCGTCCAGTGTATGTACTGGCTTTCAGTTCTCCACACCCTGGCTGTTAAGGATGAGCTGCCCTCGGTACCCGTGGCAGGCTTTGGAGTAGACATGTTTGAGGCTCCTGCAGGGCCCTGTCCTAAGAGAATGCTTGCTGTCTTCCCCGTGTCCATCAGCCTGAGAGGGGCAGTGAGGGTGGGAGAAGAATAGCGTGGGCCTTGAGCTGTGGGCCATGGCCCTGCGG